GGCGTTGGTGGTAGCGGCTCCGCTGGACCACAAGTTACACTCACGATACAACCTTACAGTGGAACTGACAAACACCGAGAACAACAACGTCTTGTACGTGACCCTCGTCATCGTAGTCACAGACGTGCCTGGATACCCACCATTCTATAACAAGCGGTGTGAAACGCCAGTCCTTACTGATAAACAGAGGGACGGGGGCTATACTGTAATCAATAGCGACGGATTTACTGTTTCCATTGGAGGGAAGATAGTTACATCGTTCGACGACTATCTTCATGGCCCTGAGGTGGAACGCAGCGCCGCTAACCTGGTCTTAACAGGCGATTGTTCCGTAAGGTTTGTCGTCACTTTAGAGACCCTACTCAGCTACTATGAAGCATTCCTCCCCGTGCTCAGTGATGAAAATCAAGGTAGAGCCGAACTTAAATGTCGCGACCGAGAGTGGAAGAGTACAGGAAGGATTACCATACTGGACACTGATCTTAATAACGACTTGCCTCAGTGGATAGAAAGTGGCAAATACAAGATAGACGAAAATGACCGCTACATCTTTGCTTTTGAGTTTAATGAGTTATGGTCCATGTCGCCATATTGGTTTCGATGTAGCATAACCTCCAGGCTCACTCCAGAGCCAGTAGAGTGGACATCCCAGTACAACGTGACAGGATGTCCTGAGGGCTGGTACGGTGTGTACTGTGACAAGAACTGTGTTTGTAAGAACGGGGCCCGGTGCCATGGCTTTAACGGTGCGTGTGAGTGCCGTCTGGGTTGGAGAGGGAGGGCCTGTGATATTCCCTGGCCCGAGGTGGGTATTGAAGAGACACCTGGCGCTTCAGTAAAAACTTACATCGGTACCAATCTGACTTTGACCTGCTTGGCTCCACATATCCGCGTGGCAAATATGACATGGGCTTATCAAACACGAAAAACACATAACGACACAAATTACATCGACGAAGGGACAGTCCAGAACAGTTCTATCAGCTTTCAGCCGATCCTAGAACCAGATAACGGCAGGTATATCTGCAATGTACAGGCAGAAGATGGTCAGCTTTTCAATGCGACTTTCATACTAAACGCTACCGAATGCCGACCCAACTATCATGGGGAATATTGCAGCCAAGTGTGTGACTGTGAGTACGGAGGGACGTGTGACAGGTGGGAGGGGTGTCTGTGTCCTGCAGGCCGTCGGGGAGACAGGTGTGAGCGCGAGTGCGCACCTGGCACATTCGGATGGAACTGCAGTATGAAGTGCAACTGTGAAAACAACGCCTTGTGTTATCCAGTCAATGGCAGCTGTATTTGTGTTGAAGGGCAGTGGGGCGAGTTTTGTCACGAGTGCGCACCTGGCACATTCGGGTGGAACTGCAGTATGAAGTGCAACTGTGAAAACAACGCATTGTGTGATCCAGTCAATGGCAGCTGTATTTGTGCTGAAGGACAGTCGGGCGAGTTTTGCCAGAACGTTCCTGAGAAGAATCAAGTCGTAGTTATAGTGTTGGCGTCCGTTATTCCGAGCATTGTTCTAATCGGCTGCATCATCACTGGAGTCCTGGTCAAACGGAGTCGCCGACGAAAACCGGAACAGCCAACAGTGGACACAGAAATGGCGACCGTCATGGAAACCCTTTCGTCGTGGGAAGTAGATAAAGAGGACCTTCACTTGGAGCACATGATCGGGGAGGGAGAGTTCGGCCATGTCGTACGGGCAAGACTGCACGTGCCGGAGTTAGGCTACGAGGTCCTGGTCGCCGCTAAAAGTATCCGGCCTGATCGCACGACGGCCTCGGCTGTCCGCGACTTTCTCCGAGAAATGGACATTCTCGCCAGAATCCACGAGAACAAAGAGGGACATCCAAACGTTGTGAAGCTTTATGGAGTTCTGACCAAGTCGGAGCCTCAGTACATCCTGGTAGAGTACGCGAGCAATGAAGAGCTACGCCGGTACCTGTGGGGTTTGCGTGAACAGTGCAAGATCACGGGGGACAGAAAAATGTTAGAACTTCTCGGTTTTGCCTGCGACGTTGCCAGTGGGTTATCGGAGCTGGCACGTCTGAAGATCGTGCACCGGGACATCGCGGCCCGTAACGTCGTCATCAGCGACAGAAAAGTGGCCAAGATCGCGGATTTCGGACTATCGCGTGACGTCTACGTGTCATCGGCGTACGAACGTACAACCCAGGGCGGGGCGGAGGAACTGTTACCGCTGAAGTGGATGGCCGTGGAGTCGTTACGGGACGGGGTGTACACGTGTGAGAGTGACGTGTGGTCGTACGGTGTGCTGCTGTGGGAGATCGCCAGTTTTGGGGAGGAGCCGCGCTACGCTGGCGGTCCGATGCACCCGGACGTCTGCACGATGCTGGAGCTGCTGAGGAAAGGCGTCCGTCTTCAACAGCCGCAGAACTGCCCGCTGCCGGTGTACCGCATCATCAGGTCCTGCTGGGTGTTCAACCCATCGAGGCGGCCAACGGCTGACGAGCTGTTCCGGAAGATTGACCTGCTGAGGCCGCAGAGGCATGCTGTGCAGCCGGTCAACACTCGATAAGGAATTTTCAGACCAATTTAAGGCCCCATTCCTACTAGGGTAAAATTGTCCGAAACGAACCGAATTGATTCCCTTTGATCCGGCTTCGATCCAAGCCGCCTCCAAGCCGGATCAAAGCGAATCAATTTGGCTCGATCCGGACAATTTTATCCTGGTGGGAATGGGGCCTTAGTCCCCCTAGCCTTATACAGGATAAAGCTGTTAAATTACGTCTGATCATAATAGTCCCCTTGGGACTGAACATGTGTCCTTTTGTTGAAGATGAGAGGTGTCCTCCTGAGAAAGGGTCTTAACTATGGAAAAATTAACGTGACTGTTGTAATGTGTCCACTATAGACAAGTGTCCACTTCAGAGAGGTGTCCACAAGGGGAGGTTTGACTGTATTAAAAATCCTACATGAAAGTTCCAGGGATCATGTAATAGCAACCATTGTCCCTTGCACACCTGCCTTCTGGCATGTTTGTGGTTGATCCTTTGTAAATGATAGTAATTTGTAATTTGTAAAATACAAGACCGTGGCTTGAAAGGAAGCAAAAACATGAAGCCCCAAAGGAAGCCGTGTATTTCTCTATTCTATGGGATATCAAAATTCAATGGAGAAAATATTCATATCTTAAATGTGATTGCCATTACTGATCTTGCAGCAATTTTAGATATTAATCAGAACAACTAAATAAAGAACAGTGCCCATTGGTAAGTACGGATTGACTAGCACAACAATCAGACGTGTCTCTTGGTTGATGTACATAATAAATAGGATGTCTTAGTCTAGATTAATCAACACAGTCTAGATTAATTAACACAGTAACCAGGAGTATGTAAGACTAGAGTAACGTGTTAAGAGTGTCTATTTCTAGATTTTGATGGTTATAACTCGAGAAGGGGGCGGATTGTCGTAATTTGTATATGCAGATAGTTTACATAATGATTGGCATTATGGAATATAGCTAGCTAATGTGCATAAATAATGAGTAAATTTCAAACATATGACACGTGTAACTAAGCATTTTCTCAATTCTGAAAGTTAAGACCTAACTTGCATAATCAATCATGATAGAAAATGCTATTATTTACGGTGTTAAATGATGGGGATTTAAATTTTGTGCATCATTAGACATAATGACATACATCAATGACCTTGCCACCAGCCGTACACATTGTCTGGCCAACTTATTTGCCGACGACACATCTCTGTCATTCTCCCATCATTCTGTTCATCGCGTAGTTGCAACACTGAACCGAGAGTTGAGTACTGTGTCGACCTGGCTATCTACATGGAAACTAGAAGCTAACATAGACAAGTGCAAAGTCATGTTCATTACAACTCGTACTTTACCACAACCGATTCCCCCTGTGACCCTAGGAGGAACTGTACTGCAAGTTGTCACCAGCCACAAACACTTAGGCGTCACTCTCACGAATACCCTGTCCTGGTCACAGCACATCGAGGTCATCTCTAACAAAGCAAGACGTTCTTCAGGACTGTTATGTGCCCTAAGAAGGAAAATTCCCCAAAACTTACTGCTCCGGCTGTACATCACCATTACAAGACCTACGTTAGAGTACGCGGATATTGTCTGGGCTGGCCTCACTTTACGTGACCAAAGGACTTTAGAATCTGTTCAGTACCAAACAGCCAGGCTTATCAGTGGTCACTTTGGGATCCCATACCCCTCCTACAATAGTCTCTACACAGAACTGTCTCTACCATCTCTCCAGTTTCGACGCAAGTTTCACACTGCAGTAACCATGTACAAACTGTTGAACGGTCGCTGTCCTCCACACCTGCAAAGTCTGCTACCTCAAGCGCGAGCGTCCGCCACAGAATCCCGGTATCCCTTACGGAATAGTGAACACTTATCCATACCGGTTTGTAGAACCACCAGATCCCAGAGAACATTTGTAATCAGGGCTATAACTATCTGGAATACTCTCCCTAGCGAAACTCGAACAACCCGCTCCATCAGCTCCTTTAAAAAGAAACTATGGACAATACTTGATAAATACTTGACGACACCTACTTAGTAAATAGTTCAATAGAATAATATTGTATTGGCAATGTAAATATAGTGGACAACATCTGTTATGTAATAGTTTATTAACCTGACATATAAATGTAATTGTAGTAAACGCACGACGACCAGGCCGGATATTCTAGCTTGTTAACGTTTCGCCACAACATCTGTTATGTAGTAATAGTATGTCTATCTGAATTGTAACTGACACCGTTAACTGTTCACTGTTCCGAATTGTTTTATGTTATTGTTGTGAGGGCTAGCCCTTTATAATAGCCTCCGGCTAGTTGGGCAGTCCTGGCTGCATACATGAGTGTTATCAGCCTAATAAATCAAATCAAATCAAATCATTAGAGTACATAAGTACATAAGATGAATAAAGAGGTCTGTACGGGAGGATATAATAACGTTGTACAGTCGAAAATTTCGACGAGTCCAATTTCTTGTGTTGGCAATTTCAGTTCAATCTTGTTCATAATGACTTCTACCAACACAGATGAAGTTTCAAGATAAGCCTAGAACATAGTCACGATGAGATTTTACCTCATAACATATACAATAACAAATATACAGCAATTTTATTTTACACAAATTACATAAAAAGGTTTCAAGAGTGCGACCAGTACAGGCTTCGAGTAAACACATCGGAATGGCAAAGGGTGTACACAATACTGTTTCTCGATGCGAGAAGGCGCGTGGCAAATGAATAGGAGAGTTTGCGTCACCTGGCGTCGTAGTGTGTACATAACAAGTGTGTACATAACAAACTGTTGCCACACCACCAACGCAGAGAACGAATACAGGACATTACAATAATCATTTTCACCTGAGCGAAGTGAGGAAAGTCGTGTGAGCTCTCTAAGCATCGCAGAGACCAATGCTCTTTGTATGTTTGTGCATGGACTTTCGGACTTTGTGACGTCATGGCTAGGGCTGCGAACAATAGTATTGGATAGCCTTGCCCTTGCCTCTGGTGAATAAGAAGGTTGGACAAAATTTCAGACGGAAGTGTTCCCCTGACAGATCAATCTGCAAGTTTGAGGATCTCAAACGTCGTCGCAACAGGTGAGAATGCCTATCTGATACTAGAGATAAATGAATTACATAATATTATTATTAAGTTATCTTCTGTCACCGAAGAGGGGGTCCAAAAAGCTACAAAGAAAGGCAAGTAGTTGTCACTTCGTTATAGAAGGAAGGTGCCGACGGCTGTAACAATTTTCTACTGTCGGTGACAGGAACTTGCCTCCAGTGAGTGATTCCTCTAGTTTTCAACTACACTTGGTTACACTAAAAACAGTAAAATCTACTTCTCGAATTCGAAGTTGTTTATTGGCGAGGGAGTGGTGGTACATGTTTGTGGCCTGGTAGATATACTGTAATTTTATATCCGTTTGGGGCATAACTAAATAAAAAAAAGAATGAAAACTAGATAGGAGAAACTTGGGTTTTAGCTATCATACGCTGTAAAGTGAGTATTGAATGGATTAGAAGTACGTTTTTCTTAAAGATACAATTTTCGTGTGCCTCCATTTCCGTGTGCCTCCATTTCCGTTTGAACACCATTTGTCGTGCCTTCAAGATTATGTCAATGGATGTTTATCTTATGTCAATGGAGTCTAGACTTAAAAGTTTGAAACAAATGACCCAGAAACAACCCAGAGCTAGGCGATTTCATAACTCCCTTGGCTGTCACTTGAAAACGACTACCACAAGACAAGTCTAACCACTCCTAAACTCACACCCTATGTGAGGCACTATTATAATAGTATTTATAGCATGCGCTGGAACGTAACTATGCCAGTTAGGCTAACTAATGGAAATGATCCCATTGGTTCGATTTCTGTCCGGAAATCCAGATAACATGGCATCAAATTTGCCAGAATGATAAAGCAATTTTATGACAGAGAGAACAAGAAATTGGAGACTTCGGACTTCTAGGAAGTATTTGGAGTTTTCATGACCTTCAACAGTAAGAGAGAGAAAGAGAGAGAGAGAGAGAGAGAGAGAGAGAGAGAGAGAGATGTATGGAATTTACTGTTTTTATTATGTTTCTTCTTCTCCTCTGACTACCGTTTGTTAAAATTCAACTCTGTCTTTTTTCAGCCGGTAACATTCAGAGGAATCGTGTTGTCAGACAACCATTGTAATACGAAGTAAAAATGGCGCTACGTGCTACGTTCTGTTCTATATTTCTGCTGGCCGAGCTCCTGTCTAGCTTCCAGGTTTATGACCTTTTAGTTTCGGGTGAAAATGTCACGGAAATACCGGAGGATGCGCCAGTCGGTAGCACGGTGGTGCGGCTGAGAGATTCTCTTGTTGCCGCCAGCCTGGTTAGTTCTGCAGACGACGCCAACGGGACGTTTTGGTCAGCAAACATCACCACGGGGAACGATTGGGGGCGGTTTGAAGTTCGTGGCGAGGACTTGGCGTTGGTGGTAGCGGCTCCGCTGGACTACAAGTTACACTCACGGTACAACCTGATGGTGGAGCTGACAAACACCGAGAACAACAACGTCTTGTACGTGACCCTCGTAATCGTAGTCACAGACGTGCCTGGATACCCGCCATTCTATAACAAACGGTGTGAAACGCCAGTCCTTACAGATAAAAAGAGGGACGGGGGCTATACTCTAGTCCGAAGTGACGGGTATACCGTTTCCATTGGAGGGGAGATAGTTAGATCGTTCGACGACTATCTTCATGCCCTTGAGGTGAAACGCAGCGCCGCAAACCTGGTCTTAACAGGCGATTGTTCCGTAAGGTTTGTCGTCACTTTAGAGACCCTGTTCAAAGAGTATTTATCATTACAAATCGTGTTCAATAATGATACTCAAGGTAGAGCCGAACTTAAATGTCGCGACCGAGAGTGGAAGAGTACAGGGAGGATTACCATACTGGACACTGATCTTAATAACGACTTGCCTCAGTGGGTAGAAAGTGGCAAATACAAGATAGACGAAAATGACCGCTATATCTTTGCTTTTGAGTTCAATGAGGTATGGTCAATGTCGCCATATTGGTTTCGCTGTGGTATTAACGCCTCGTTCGCTAAAGGGCCAGATCTGGTTGAGTGGATATCCCAGTACAACGTGACAGGATGTCCTGAGGGCCAGTATGGTATATACTGTGACAAGAACTGTGTTTGTAAGAACGGGGCCCGGTGCCATGGCTTTAACGGTGCCTGTGAATGCCGTCTGGGTTGGAGAGGGAGGGCCTGTGATATTCCCTGGCCCGAGGTGGGTATTGAAGAGACACCTGGCGCTTCAGTAAAAACTTACATCGGTACCAATCTGACTTTGACCTGCTTGGCTCCACATATCCGCGTGGCAAATATGACATGGGCTTATCAAACACGAAAAACACGTAACGACACAAAATACATCGACGAAGGGACAGTCCAGAACAGTTCTATCAGCTTCCATCCGATCCTAGAACCAGATAACGGCAAGTATATCTGCAATGTACAGGCAGAAGATGGTCAGCTTTTCAATGCGACTTTCATACTAAACGCTACCGAATGCCGACCAAACTATCATGGGGAAGAATGCAGCCAAGTGTGTGATTGTGAGTACGGAGGGACGTGTGACAGGTGGGAGGGGTGTCTGTGTCCTGCAGGCCGTCGCGGAGACAGGTGTGAGCACGAGTGCGCACCTGGCACATTCGGGTGGAACTGCAGTATGAAGTGCAACTGTGAAAACAACTTAATGTGTGATCCAGTCAATGGCAGCTGTATTTGTGTTGAAGGACAGTCGGGCCAGTTTTGCCAGAGCATCTCTATTTCTGACAAGAATCAAGTGGTAGTTGTAGTGTTGGCGTCCGTTATTCCGGCCATTGTTCTAATCGGCTGCATCGCCATTGGAATCCTAGTGAACCGGAGTCGCCGACGAAAACAAGAACAGCCAACAGTGGACACAGAAATCGCGTTCGTCATGGAAACCCTTTTGTCGTGGGAAGTAAATAAAGAGGACCTTCACTTGGAGCACATGATCGGGGAGGGAGAGTTCGGCCATGTCGTACGGGCAAGACTGCACGTGCCGGAGTTAGGCTACGAGGTCCTGGTCGCCGCTAAAACTATCCGGCCTGACCGCATGACTGGGTCGGCTGTTCGCGACTTTCGCCGAGAAATGGACATACTCACGAGAATCCACGAGGAGGACAAAGAGGGACACCCGAATGTTGTGAAGCTCTATGGATTTCTGACCCAGTCGGAGCCTCAGTACATCCTGGTAGAGTACGCGAGCAATGAAGAACTCCGTCGGTACCTGTGGAGTTTGCGTGAACAGTGCAAGATCACGGGGGACAGAAAAATGTTAGAACGTCTCGGTTTTGCCTGCGACGTTGCCAGTGGGTTGGCAGAGCTGGCACGTCTGAAGATCGTGCACCGGGACATCGCAGCCCGTAACGTTGTCATCAGCGACAGAAAAGTGGCCAAGATCGCCGACTTCGGACTGGCGCGTGACGTCTACGTGTCGTCGGCGTACGAACGCACCGAGCAGGGCAGGGAGGAGGAACTGTTGCCGCTGAAGTGGATGGCCGTGGAGTCGTTACGGGACGGGGTGTTCACGTGTGAGAGTGACGTGTGGTCGTACGGCGTGCTGCTGTGGGAGATCGCCAGTTTTGGGGAGGAGCCGCGCTACGCTGGCGGTCCGATGCACCCCGACGTCTGCACGATGCTGGAGCTGCTGAGGAAAGGCGTCCGTCTGCAGCAGCCGGAGAACTGTCCACTGCCGGTGTACCGCATCATCAGGTCCTGCTGGGTTTTTAACCCATCGAGGCGGCCAACGGCTGACGAGCTGTTCCGGAAGATTGACCTGCTGACGCCACAGAGACACGCTGTGCAGCAGATCAACAATCGATAAGGAATTTTCAGACCAATTTAAGGCCCCATTCCCACTAGGGTAAAATTGTCCGAAACGAACCGAATTGATTCCCTTTGATCCGGCTTCGATCCAAGCCGCCTCGAAGCCGGATCAAAGCGAATCAATTTGGCTCGATCCGGACAATTTTATCCTGGTGGGAATGGGGCCTTAGTCCCCCTAGCCTTATACAGGATAAAACTGTTTTGAAATTACGTCTTATCATAATCTAATATTAATAATCCTATATAAAAGTTCCAGCGATCATGTAATAGCAACCATTGTCCTTGGCACAACTGCCTACAACCTGTCCTTCTGGCATGGTTGTAGTTGTTCCTTTGCAAATAATAGTAATTTGTAATTTGTAAAATATAAAACCGTGACTTGAAAGGAAGCATACGTTTGAAGAAAAGAATAGAAAAAACATGAAGCACCAAATTAAAGGAAACTGTGTATTTTTCCGTGCATGGGATATCAAAATTCAATTGGGAAAATACTCAAATCTTAAATGTGATCACCATTACTGATCTTGCAGCAATCTTAAATATTAATCAGAACAACTAAATAAAGAAGAGTGCCCATTGGTAAGTACGGATTGACTAGCACAACAATCAGACGTGTCTCTTGGTTGATGTACATAATAAATAGGATGTCTTAGTCTAGATTAATTAACACAGTCTAGATTAATTAACACAGTAACCAGGAGTATGTAAGACTAGATTAACGTGTTAAGAGTGTCTATTTCTAGATTTTGAAGGTTATAACTCTATAAGGGGGCGGATTATAGTAATTTGTATATGCAGGTAACTTACGTGATGATTGACATTATGGAATATAGATAAAGTGTATAAATAATAAATAAATTTTAAACACATGAGATGTATAACTAAGCCATTTTGTCAATTATGCAAGATAAGACCTAATTAGCATAATCAATCATAATAGAAAATTCTATTATACTATGGTGTTAAATGATGGGAATTTTATACTTGCAGCGTTTGGAAGTTAAGTTGTGCATCATCAGACATATATCATTAGAAAATCTACCATGAAGTAAGAACACAAAAGGAATAGATAAGACGAATACAATACGGATGTACAGAGTGAAAACTTCCTGAACTCATATATCAAATCACAAATGCACATAAACAGATTCTGTAGGTAATGAACAAAGATTTCACAAAATAAATACAAGTACATAAGATGAATAAAGAGGTCTGTACAAGAGGATACAATAATGCGTATCACTTTTTTTTTTTTTTTCCCTTAAGTGCAATAGATCAATTTAAAGTAGACATTTTACTTTCCTGATACTGTCCAAAACTAACAGTACAAAATCTCTATATCTTTGTATGTTTCTGGCCTTCCAATGGTACGGAAAAGGAAAGATAAGAAACCCTATACTTTCAGGTATCAAAAACCGTCTTAATAACAAATCTCTTCATCCGTCAGATCATCCATGTTTGCATAGACATGCTCTTCGAACCTTGTAAGAATTATGTGTTCCTGTAAAAGGGAAAGACAATTTTAACTTTAAAAGACACGCGCATGACTACTCCGATGAATTTGACTGGGCCCTTGTGTTACAAAGAGTAATGGGGTACACTTGGGATTAAAAATATTGTCGCCTCAGTGTGGGTGGTGGAACCATAAAAAAACCATCATACCTGCTCGTCCCTCAGCATTCTGAAGAGAGCAGAGGACAGTTCTGAGAAATACGGCCGCCCCTCGGGGTAGAATTCCCAACACTTCTCCATTAGGAAGTATCTGAAACAGATGTAAACCTAAGAAATCCGCCCAAACAGCTCCACGTAAACATATAGAATCGAATTGAATTGAAACAACAAAACAACCAATAAAACAGTCACGTATAAACATTTGGAATCACTTGAAACAGTAACATGGAATCCTCTGAAACAGTCACATATAAACATATGGAATCTTCTGAGACAGTCAAATGTAAACATATGGAAATTGCAGAAACAGTCACATATAAACGCGTGGAATCCTCTACGACAGTCACATGTAAACACACGCTACCGAAAGCATTGCCTTCTTGGCGAAGTTGAAATAAAATACAGCTTACAGTTGATCAGTGCAGTGAGCCGGTTTTGGCATGATGTGTCCCGACTGAACCACAGCGGCGACCTCCTTGTTGGATATGGTCGGGTATGGAGTTGACCCTGTATAGGAGAGAGGAAGCGAGAAGTGAAGAAAAAGTATATATTCGTCAGTCTCGGCTCTTTTTCTAACAACGTTCTTTTTGAAAGCTTTTCACTGTGAATGTCAGCAGCGCCCAAATGGATGAAAGTTCGAGGAAAGGTGGCGAAATTTGTGTTCTTCCCCTTTACTAATTTAAATCTACGGTCACACATTCAGGACCTTCCCACGACTTTTGCTCCTGACCGCTCCTCAACCAAGGTTCGGAGTTGGGAGTACGTTGGAATCCACTTTGTTTAGCTTCAAGCAGAATAAAACGTTCATGACATTTTTGCCAAATTCTTGGTCGACTGGCGCAGACTAGTAGGCAACCCATCATCCAACTCCCAACCACAGATGACCTCACGACAAACTCCCAACCAACCAAATGGTCTGGAGACGGTCATGGGGCAGTGTGTAACACGAATTTGTCACTAGATAGCTTTGAAATAAGACTTAAACGCTACGTGATATTTACATAGCTACAGAATAAGATTTGAAAGCAGATCTGCCTACCCAAAGTTGCAATTTCGTACAATAAGATGCCGAATGACCAGACGTCGCTCCTGGTGCTGTACAGGCGGGCATGGAGGGTCTCCGGGGCCATCCAACGGAGCGGGAGGAGTGACTGCAAAATAACACGAACAGTCAGTCAGTCAGTCAGTCATCAGTTCACACTGCTTGGAAATAAAATAAAAAGCTGGTATCATGATATACCAACCAACCAGAGGCGGTATCATCATGAAAGTTAATCTGATCCAACACAGTCACAGACAATATCCCTCATGTCAAGAAAGCATGAAGATGAACATATATCATTTAATGCCCTGTCAAGCATATACGGTAGATAGAAGCTAATTGTGTGTGTTTGTCTGTGAAATAGACGGGAAACATAGCTCTCTTCGGAGGTTGCGAAATAGCGGTTATAGCCATGACAGTCTTACCGCGGTGAGTTTCCGGTACTCAGGACCGTCCCTGGCCAGCCCGAAGTCGGAGATTTTGCACGTTCTGTTCTCCCCAACCAGCACGTTTCTCGCTGCCAGATCTCTGTGGATACACTAGACACAAAATATCATGATCACGTCGTCATCGAGAAATTTTTTGTACAAAATTTTCTCGATATGCGACAAAGATAGTTTTTGTTTCCAAATTCGCTTGCGTAATGCTGAGGCCATCAAATTTCCAAACCAGACCTAGGGCTCAGCCGGGCTGTTACGTGAATGAAAAAAAATATCAAGGATATTCACAAGTAATGCTCGTAATTGATTTTTCAACATTTTTGTTGTCTTTTATACCATACTTTCCAGATACTTTTCGTTCTTACTGACTGCCCAGTTCGGTAGGGATGGGAATTGTAAACTTAGCATAAGACCAGACTACGAGGTTTAGATCCACTCACATGGGGATGGTCCGCTACTCTTATCGATAAGTGTGGTGGGTTCTTTAAAATTCTGGAGATGTGGCTTTCCTCAACGGACAATGGACATCTGGCTTTACGTCCCACCCGACCGAGAGTTAATTCTCGTATATCTTTGAGATGAATTCGTCTTTTTAAGGGATAACATTACCTGTTTAGACGCCAGGAAGGACATGCCCTTGGCCACCTGCCACGCAAACGAGATGAGGTCTTTATTCTGCAGCGTCTTCCCTTCCGGGTGCAGGTTCCTGTATGTGACGTCACGGGCAGCCCGGTCGTTCCGCAGCACGGCCAGCAGGTTCCCGTGACGGACGTACTCCAGTATCAGCATCATCGACTCTGCCATGATAAAATAGACACTGTGCGTACATTCGTCAATATGTAGCCTCCTTCGCAGACTTCTGATGCGGCGGCGTTGATTTTTTTCGGGGAGCGACGCGAGTTATGCCGGGGAGCTTGTCGCCGAGGGACTTTGCCGAGGAGAGACGGTTTCGCGGGGAACGCGGCCGCATCAGAAGTCTGCGAAGGAGGCCGGTCAACATGTATCTAAACTACAAAGGCAGCCATTTGCTTGGAAGCCAATGCAGTATTTCAGTAACCAATGTCATACATTATTGCTAAGGATTTTTTTGCGTAATGCAAACTGTTAATTCTCAAGATTTAAACAGAACCATTTACTGTCTTACGTCACACGAGCCCGCATGTCCGCGGTCCAAACAGTTATTTTTTCTTAGAGTTTGATTCAAACTACATGTACCTGAGCTGGTGCAACATCCAAGAAGTGACACGACGTTGGGATGGAATGCTGTTACCTTCATCATCATTCGCAGCTCTTTGCGCATGTCCTCGTGTGCCTCGTGTGTTGCATTAACTGTAAGAACAACAAGTAACAAATGGTAAATGTATTTATGCTAATGGTTTACATTACGTGATATCTAGACTTCCCACAAACTTAAGTAAATTAAAGGGCGCCTATATACTAGTATTTGAAAGGTATGTGATCACCAAGATTTTAAGTTATAGGACCAGGGCATATCACTTCATTTCAACAGGTCTTAGGTATTCGCGGGCAATAATGACATATTTGCTCGTGTTCGCAGAGCACCTTTCACTGTCTTGACAGCCACTAGTCGATCCTTCTGGCTGGCGCTGACGCCTTCCAGCTCTGCCAGGTACACATCGCCGAACTGTCCATGTCCCAGCCGCTTGATGAAGCGAAGTTGTTCTCTGGTGAACGACGCTCCGAGCGACAGACTCACGAGAGATGTCTCTTCGATAGTCTGCGCTTGGTTGCCATAGTACTGAACAACAAGAAGAAAAACAACAACAACATCAGTAAGGAATTGGAGATTTCATACATACGTGAAATATTTTAACGAATTTCTTGTTGGTTAATTCCAGAGCATATTTATCGGATGGCGTCTATAAATGTTCTGACTGGCGTCCGACTGCCAAGATATGGTAGCACCGACCATAATATAAGTGTAGAGCTTATCAATATTGTATTATTGATAAAACATTGAGTAATTCCAAATAAAATGCGATTCATGCTTGTAAATACTATATAGTTATTGTATATCCAGTTATCCCATCATGCACACAGAAGACATATCTGACCTCTAACTGTCCCGGATGTTCAACGGTGTCCGACTGGGGTCTTTCGTCATCTGTGACGTCATCTCCTTCCCAACATGCCATCTCCTGATCATCACCATCCACTTCCGCCTCTCCCTCGATCGTCGTTCCCGGTTCCTCTCGGTCCTGCTGTGTTTTGTTTTTTCAAATTTATTTTTTTAATTGTTTTCCACAAAAAAAGACAGTAGGTGAGAAAAGACAAGCACAAGCATGGCACGAAAGACAACATACAGTATCTAACACAAAATCACATGGATAAACCACAAAACTGATAAATAAAACCAGCTAACAATAATAATAAATATGAATGTAGGACCTGCTGTGGTGTTTGTCCATCTTCTGTTTCAGTTGCCTCCACGTCCGCCCCAGGACGGTTGTAGTGGACGCTGTTGACGTTGACCGGTGCTAACTCAAAGGACGGTCGCTCCTGCATACCTATTCGGGACTAAAATGACAAAGCTTTCATACAATTACATTCATCGTAGGTCTTAGAATTTTCAAACACTTACAAAGATTTAAGACAACCTTTTTTTTTATTAGTGGGACACATCCTCAAAATGCCTAATCGTAGGACGAATGTGACCAGGCAATAAAAATATGGTAGAGCTGTGGAATCATTATATTCGCATTCCATGCGGCCCACCAGCTTACCGGCGAAGAGCGGAGAAAAATGCGAAGATAAGAAAAATTGATGAGAGGGTTACATTTTTCCCCAAACAAACTCTGCTTGGACAGTACTTGAAGGGGGCCAAATACCCCCTGGCGTCGAGAGATTGTGTAATATGCCATGGGGACCATAGAAAAAGAAAACGGTAACATACATATATTACACAAATAAACTGGAATTTATTGTATAACTGATGAGTTGCACATTTATTGGCCGGAAAAGGTGAAAATAAGTGTATCCCTGGGCCTGTTTCTTAATATATCATATTTACCTTAGAGTTTGAAAGTTTTCTGAAGTGGTGTCCCAGCATGAGCACAGCAGTGGCAAGTAGACCGCAACCAAACGCTAATCCAAGAATCAGCCTCAATCTCTCTTCCCTTTCGTTTCCCTGTTGTTCTTCAACTGAAAAAAAAAACCCTACGCCTTTAAACATACTGTACCTAACCAAATTCCTTAAAGTCGATTAAACGATTTCTGAAGTAACAAAATAATATAGATATGTATGTACAGGAAAATCACCTGTAGCTCTACTCGTTTCAGTTTCAGGGTCCGCAGTAAAAGGAGTCGGCCTGAAGTCGTCCTGGACGGTCGACGACATCGACATCGTATCCACGGGAATGTCGAACCCTTGAGCTAGCACAGTATGGAACATAAAAATATGTCATCCATGTAGTTAAAAAGCCTAGAGTAAAGCTAGCGTCTAGTCAGTGTAGCAAAATTACCGAAAACGCCACAAAACTTACAATTTTCGGTAATTTTGCTACAAAGAAGACGCTATTTTTACTCTAGTAGTAGTAAACAACATGGCATCGCGGGTGTGTTTAGGCCGTATATACGGCAAAATCGGTCTTGTTGAGGAGTGTTTAGGGAGATCCGAACATCGGCAACCCGGCCAACGGTGAGGTTAAGTTGCAGGGAAGCTCGGGACACCCGAAAACCGGGACGAAAACAGAACATCGCGCAGCCAACTGGAAATGTTCGGCTCTGCACATGCCAATGGCGCTTTTCACGACTCTTGCTGAGGGCTATAATATATAGGCCCGAAGCAAGAGTCTCCACGGCCAGAATGAAACACGTTGCGAAGTGCAACACATGCATGGACTTACCTTGTTTCTTGACGTGAACAACTCCGCTAGCCGATGCGGTGCCGATGTCGTTGCCGGCGCGGCAGATGTAGGATCCGTTGTCCTGCGTCGTGACGTTGCGTAGGACGATGGTTGTCGTCCCCGTCGTTGCCATGACAACGTTTCTCCCCTGCACCTGCCGCTTCCAGCTGATGTGGGCAGGTGGGTTGCTATCGACGATGCAGGTGACAATGACGTCATCTCCCTCTCTTACCTGTCGCGGCTGTACGATTACACTGACGTCGGGAGGATCTTGAAACAAAACATCAACGTACGTAGACAAATTCAAATGTCTCCGTTATTTATCCAGTAGTAGAGTTTGGATGGTCTTTGAATTTGTTTTACCTGGATGTCTAACTTTCATCAACGTATCAATGAAAACAGAATATGCCAAATACTATACTATGGTAAGACCTGTACTAGTGATCACCTTTGCATAAGGTAGACCAATTAGAAATTGTGACCACTTTAATTTTTGGGTGGTCTCTAGGAAATATTTTCATATCATCTCCAGCATGTAAGTTCCTTCAATGTTCACCATAATGCCTGTCCTGAGTCCTGACTGTAAACGAAAACAAACGAAGCAAAGTAGAACTTTTTTTAAAATGTTTCAGTTAACCAGTTAATCATAAAAAGCAGCCATCGATGATCGGAAGTAAAGGAAAAAAAGTATAAACCATTGTTACAATGACTTGGGTACTGACTATAGAGGAAGGCTTTGTCTTTATGCATAACGTACATAGAACCTCCATGATCACACTTGCAGTTTTCGGCGAAATGAGCAGGTGGTGTCTCTGATCAGCGGTGCACGACAGCACGGCGCCGTTGTGTTGTCGTCTGACGTGCAGTTCCGTGGTAATCCGCATGGTGTGCTGGGAGTAGAACAACTCCTGTGTTGGTTGTTGAAGCGACGCCAGTGTCCAGTAAAGAGAAGGTTGTGGCAGCCCGCCATGACACGAACAGGTCAGCTTAACGCGAGCGCCTTCGACAACGGGCCATTTAAAACCGCTTATCACCGGAGTGCCCGCTTCAGCTGCGATAGATGTTCAACAAAATGAATGTTCAACAACAAATGAAAACATATAAATGACTCATGTAATGTTTTTGGCTCAGAAAAATCTAAAAGAAATGTCGAAACCTCGGTAAAGGCACCAAAGACGTTTTAACAAGAAACCGAATACTGGTATTTCACACAACGATTTCTATCACACAACATAAACTTTTTCCTCTCCTTTTCTTTACATGTAATCGTTCATTGAATGCTCTTTGTGTACTTCTAAAAAGTACACAATAGACCAATCCTGACTGCCCATCACAATTAGTATTTCAATCAATGATAACACAGCAATTACTGTTTAGATCAATAAGAGAGTGGCTGCATGTCCCTCATTTTTGCTTTTGTGCTAGAGGAAGTTGGCGGTGCTATGGGATCAGCCTACACCCTCCCCCTCCCCAAAATATGATCCTTCCGATCACATTGCTGGCGGCAAAGTAACACAACTGACCCGGGATGACCTTCCCCATTCAAACCCGTCCCGCGACACGCGAACAATAGAACGCGTGTATGTGACCTTATGCAGGTGTTTGTTTTGGTTCCTCTAACGTGGTTTCTATCGTCTCGCCTGCAAAACCGCAACCACTTTTGCGACGTCTTTGTCCTAATCGCCACATAACCGTAGCCTATAACAGGCTTCGGGGGCGGCAAACTGTTTTCTAAAACAGAACAACTCCCCTGACATCTCTCTATTTGGCCGATTTCTACTCTTTCCTGTCGCCTTTCGAAGCCTGGTCAGAGGCTAATATAACCGCGCAAACAATCACAACGTTTGGATCACACATGTCCGATGTTTGTCGCTCAACGCTCGTTCAGCGCTTTCTCAGCTATAGTGGAAAGTGAAGCAATCATACTCGAGGTGTGATCCTCCCTAAACACAGGGCCTTCGGGGTCTTTTTCCTTTTCTCTTTATCTTTGTAAACATATGAAGGAAACACAAAGTTCATAATGATAATAGGCAACAACATTATACAGAGGACTACAATATAAAAGAAAGAATGTACAAAGTTAAAACTTAAAACGATCTGATATCAAAATATCTGGTGCATTTGATGAGAGATAATGTTGACATGAGAGTAAAAGTCCGATAATCAAAGCTGGGTTTCCCATTCCTTTCTCATTCAACCTACAATTTAAGTCTCTAGCAACATGAGCGAATGAACAGGATTGAAACGCTGAGAGCAGCAGAGAACACAGGGCTATGTAAAGTGGAGGAAAATAGTACCCTCAATATGGTGCCCCAACGACCCCCACCGAGGTCAGGGATAGGCGAGGTGAGGTATTAGGGTGTAGAAAGCACCGATACAGAAGGAAAACTTACTTAACACTTTGAGGCGAGTTGTGGCGTGAACTATTTTCCCCGCCCGACAGTGGTAGGTTCCATCGTCTGACTGTTCCACCGAGTTTAACAGAAGGTTGTATTCTCCCTCCGTCTCGTTCCCCGTGACGGAAACTCTCCGGCGCATGGCCCGTCGGTTGATCGTCAGTACCCTGTTCATGTTCGGGCCGAGCCACTTGACTTTTGTGGCGTTGGTAGCGTCCGGTACAACGCAGGAGAGAGTGATGTTTTGTCCCTCTACTACCGTCCTGACGGCGGGTTCGACGGCGAGGAGACGCCGGCTTGTGAAGCGAGTTGCCCCGGCCGCCTCCCCATGTACGGCCGAAGAGCTGGCCGATCCAGTCTCCGCTGTGACTGTGTATATGTAAAACACCGCATAGCACAACGTAACGAGGACGTGTAACACTGGGCTGTAGAGCTTGGCCATACTCCTGAAAACTGCTGATCTCCGTATGTCAAACCTTGAGCGCACAATAAGCAAACACCCTACTACCAACTGTCAAGTGTGTATGAAGCGGGATACCGGGTGTGTGGGTGTGAAACTTCGAAAATGAAAGAGCCAAAAGAGGAACAATGACATAACTATGTGAGCACGCACCACAACATAGTAACATCCTATCTATTCTCAGGACTCAATACAATGAAAAATACCTGGTGCATACATGACACATGACCCGAGGCAGACTTCATGAAAAGACATTCTAAGGACCTGTATTCAACCATAACACTTACACGTGACACTTGTAGCGTTTTGACAACAAAAAAGACATGGGAAGCAAAAGCAAGTTGGTTGTTTAAAAAACAGAGGTTATTAATAGACTTGGCAACTCGCGTTGAGGCATGTTATTGCCAGGTGTTTTGTATGTTCATGTTATCATTTGATCATTTTTTGCGCAGCATTATCATATACGTATATTAGAAAAAGGAACAAACAAATGGTGAAGCAACGTTAACGGAGCTGATAAATGACCTCTTGCGGAATTGTCAATTATTGCAGCACAATAAACGTCAGGGGCGTTGAAGTAACATGTATGTGCCCTGACAGTGTCACACTTCTGCGTATCTTCACTGCGTACGAATTGCGTTCAGGGATTTTTGCTAGAAAGAAAGAAAACGAAAACCTCAAGACAAAGAATGGGTTGATGCAATCCATCTTTATTTCTTTTCTGTCCATTTCGTATAGAGCGAAATAAAACGCATTCCTTAGAAATAATTTCTCATCGCCTTTTCGTAAATCCCTGTATATCACTTGTGGCCTTTCCTTATGACAGCTAGACAATGATATAGTTCAGGTATCAATTGTTTTGATATATGATGCAACACGAATTCAACAACTGTGATATAATCATGGAAGTACGTTTATCTATGTTGGTAATAATCATAGTGCGATTATAAACTTACAGTAATTCCTACACAAGGATACACAAGAATCAAATGACTGCCGCCTTCCTCTGAATAATCACTGATATAAGATGACAAAAACAACAACAGCACAGATTGTGTGTAGGTTTCTAAATTCTTGTCTGTATTTGGATATTGAGCCATTGTATTAATCCAACTTCGCTTATAAATGATATATTTATTTAGTCAAGGTAGGGGGTCACGTCCGATAGTGCAAGAAAAAAATTCCCTTTTGGCAAAAGTGCCCTAAGCATGATACTTTTCCATTGAATGCAACGAAAACGACACTGTTCGCGAAATATAGTTATATACTGCAGTGAACCACGTTACAGAGAGTGACGTACATGTATGATAGCTGTATGTGTCCGAGGCCACTAACTAAGATAATGATCATCCGTGTGTCTGGTGAGACCGAGGCACTGGACTCGTCTCTAGCTGGCTTGGAAGCCAGACCCACACCGTGAGACGATACTGGTCCTTTCGGCCGGGGGAGTAGCATGTCCCCGCTCCCATAGTTGGCACCTTACCTCGAAGAGATAATTTGTGTGTGTAAAAAAAGTTTCACGACCCAAGAAATAATTCACACACCGACGTTTCGGTGACCATCTGTCACCTTCTTCGACGCTCAATGCCGACCGGTAGTACTTCACACTGCAGCTAGGTGTCGCTGCTACAGTGTTTTAATAGGGGCCGGTCATTAACCCTTAAGTAGTTGTTCGGTGTGAATAAAAATTGTTACACAGTCAATCACCAACATTATGAATTTTTTTACGGCGATAGTTTATGGTAGAGTGCCAACTGTCTCTTAGCCTAGGTACCAGATTGTTGCCAGGGCGAGTATACAGGCTTAAACAGGCTCTTTAGCTCCATGACTAACATGTTTCGGGAAAATATACCATTAACACCCTTTGACAGTGTTCCGGGTCTAACTGGCCTGTGTACTGACCCTGACAACATTTTGGCATCAAGGCTACCTGTCTCTTAGAGCGGGGGCGTATTAATATTAGGATAGCCGGCCGAAGGGAACCAGTATCGTCCTGTCCATCTTGTCTTTATCCAGGCTAACCCCTGTCCTGTTAGTCCAGGTTCTCCGGTAGCTGAGGTGAGTTGTCCGGCTCGGGCAGGAATCCCCAGCCAACCAGGCTCTCTTCGTCCTCATCTGCTCTCTTGCCCTGCCTTCTCGGTTTTACTTTACGGACTTTGACGATCCTAGAATTTCCAGAGAAACAAAACATCAAGCCCACGAATGTACAAATAAAGGTTATCTATTTTACATTACTGTCATTATAGGCATTATAACTCATTTTTGTAGCGGGTACAAATTATATAATAGTTTTTCCTGTATTCAACCGCCCACTAAGTTGCAAATCACACTGATCACACAGCTTGGCAATTTAGGAAAATTATAGAGGTCTTTTGGATCAAGCGATTTTTTTGCAGAGTATCCGGTAGGCAATCAATGATGCAATTTAACAACAAACAAACATTAAAAAAACTAATCACATAGCCCCGCCCACTTCCAAAGAAATTGAAATATTTGACGGACATCCATCCATTCACAACAACCAACTATATAGATTTGGAGGCGTCGAACATTATTCTCGTTTTGGATTCCTTAACAATGTAAATCTATCCAAATAGGCTACATATTCACGGTGCTCTACTAGCATATGTTAGGACTCCCCATGCTGCTAGCCTCCTGTGTAGGGCTCCGGGCGGGTAGGAGTTTTGATACTGCGTACTGTAGAGTTTTTAATGCGTCCAACTCACCCGGAGGCCTGCACATGCTGCATGGATTCCCAAGAAATCCAGATAGTCAGAGTGGTTTCCTTACCTGAGCAGATACAGCCTGTGTCGTATCATCTGATTGACGCCCCCTCGCACCCTCCAGAGGAGCCGCAGGCCCCTCTTCTCCAGACCCGGGGCCGGGGCTGCTGCCGCCATGAGCAGGGCAGACACCAGCACTGCAGCGGTGACGAGCTTCGTCTTCATTTCACTGAAGCAACAACGCAAACAAATCAATCTTGTCACCACTCTCTTCCGTAGTTCCCTCACGCGCGCGGTACTCATGTCACTAATTGCTTCCTTCTGCACATTGGAACAAGCAATTAGGTTCTACAAATAGAATTCGACAAAGGGTCAATGACCAGGGGAGCTGTTCACCGTTATGCAGGTCTCCCCCCCCCCCCCTCCGGAAGTACACGAATGTGCCAATCTCCCGTGACG